CTGTTTCAAGACTCTTCCCTGTTGTTATCCATTAAAGTTTTCATCAACAACCATTCTAGGCGCCCATCCTAAGATAACATGATTGAGTGATGGCTGTTTGTGACTACATGTGACAGAGCCAACGATCATGATGTGCTATTAATATTAAGGCCCAATGTGATCCACTCACCAGAGGAAAAACATGGTTCCCACTGGAGGAACCAAACAGAAACTGGAAGATCACCTCTAAAAAGTCCAGTGACTCTGACAGCATCTTCCTCCCACACTTCTCCACATTTCCACTCTGACTTCTAACAACAAGCTACTAATGTTGGAAATTGAGCTGTGAATAATGAATATTTGTACAGGAGATTTAGGGATTTATTTTTAATATTAAGAAAGAAAAACAGGAAAATGAATTTTCAGGTAAGAACCCAAGATTACTCATGTTGCTAAGACTGTGGAGACATCTTTAGCATGGACCAGAAGTCTCATGAGTCAGTTGAGTTCATGGAGAGTTCCAACAATGAATCTGTAGCAGTTGCCTTGCCTAATTAATGAAGATTAATTGCACTTTTAAAAGATTCAAAGGCTATGTAAATACTACACAAAGCTGACCCAGTTCTATCTGTGCTATTTCTCTGGCTGTCTGAGCCCCAGGGGAACATACTATTTCTCTCTCACAGGTAAGTCCCCATTCTATAACTGCTTTGCACAGGAACTTATGAGGAGAAAAGGTACAGCCTATCAAATGAACCAAAAATTCTCCCTTGCCTTCGGTTAGGGTTTCTATTCTTTAAGCAATGAATGTAGCTAATTCTTAGATCCCTTCTGTGGCCCAGTGATTATTATAACTCTTCTCAAACTTGATTTCATTTGCATAGTTTCTTTAGTGCAACTATAATTTTTATGCAAAACAGTCACTTTTATATCACACTAAGTTTGGAGTTGATGTTGTCTTTTTAATCACTTTGATTTTTATGAAAGCAAGTTTCCAAAGCAATATCTATCAGTTGAGAGACCATCTATACATTAAATGATTCTGTTTCCTTTATCAAGAGGTCAGTGATTAATTTCCACTAACTATATTTAAAAGAACACATATGCCAAGGATGATGTTTAGTCATACAGATTTTTGGATCCCATTAACATTGACCATTCTCAGGAGATGCTCCTGGCTTGTAGGAGGATCCTGCTCATCCTTATACTCCTCTTCCTCACCCACACCCTCTCCCCAGTATTTCATTATATCGCTTGACTGGCCTGAGATGTATTATATAGACAAGGATAACTTTGAACTCACAAAATCTGCCTGCCACTGCCTTCCAAGTTCTGGGGTTAAAGGCATGTGCCATTATACCCTACCACTTTTTTGTTGGGAAATCTTTCTTTAGGGTGTCCAGGCAGCTTTCATTCACCTGGTTATGCCCAAACAGTCTGAGGAGATGTAGACGTTTCTATATTCTTCTCTTTTAATATACTGGCATTCCCAAAGCAGGTGTGCTGGCCCACTGAAACATCACGTGAACACCTGGATGAGTTCCGGGGTGTGAAACCAAACCAACACAGGATAAAGACAAAGGTGTTTGCTGCTCACAAAGCTCATCAACCCAGTTCCATTTGTGGGTATGTTTTTCTTTTAGATGGTATGAGAAAGCTGCCTTCATTTAACTGTATACCTTAAATGGGTGAATTTGTAGTGTGCCGATTGTATGTCAACAAAATGGACGTAAGAAAGAAGGCAAGATAGAGAAGGAGGTGAGGAAATGGAAATTTCTCTGGGTTTGTTTGTGGTGTTTCCAAAGACAACTTAACCTTACATCTGTACTTTCTGATCTTTCCTCAATCTGTAAGGGGCATGCCTTTAAGACAGACTAACAAGCACTGCTGAACACAGGGTCTCATCGGCACCACCATCCTGTAGATCTTCCCTCCTCTTCCACAACCGTGGTTCTTCCCCTTTTGTCACGCACAGCTTTAGCCCTTAGTCAAGTTGCAAAACACAAACTATGGCTCCCCTGGGAAGCTGTGCTTGACTATTCTGTAGGCTTAAAGGTGTCAGAGTTGGGCCTGAGAGTACAAATCGAATTCCTTTCTTAGAATTGCCCTTCCTTTCCACCATATCTTGTTATGGACCTTCAAGAAATCTTGGAGACCAAATATTTACAACATGACTCAATACATAGATGCTTGAGAATCACCTCAGGGAATTTTCAGATTCTTCAAATTCAGGCTCCGTGTGAAGAAACTAACATGGTAGCCATGGGAGTAGAATTCCAAGGGTGATTCTGATGCGAGTCCTGACTAAGCTTCTTTTAACCTAGCATGTTGACAGTCTTCCTCCTCTGCTAAAGGGCTTGTTTGTTCATTTTCCTCACCAAACTGTGAGCTGCTTAAAGGCAGAGACCACACTCTGATCTTCATTTATCTTCCTAGTACTGTCACCTTCTGGAAGCTTCTCAGTGTTTACAGAAGAAGGCCGATTTCTTACACTAATGAAGCCAAAACTGGCAAGCAGCAACCAATCACAAATGATGACTGTGTCCCAAGGTGGACACCAACGGTTCAGATCATCCCATTGTCATCTTTATGACTCTGAAACAACCAATCTGGTCTTATCCTGGAGCCTTGTAGTGCCTGTTCAGCTTTGCTCTGTTCACAGGAAGAGTCACACTGACCATTCGTAGGCTTTCCAGTTCTCTCCTTGCATCTACTCCTATCACTCAAAGCATGATGAAGATGTTTGTCTCCCCCAGACTCACCGTTAGTATTCCTCTCAGAAGTCAAAGAAATCATGGAATAAATCAGTATTTGTTCCCCCAAAGTATCATAAAATGATAATAAGAGATTGAATAAGTTTTTCAAATTGCAGACAAATTTCCAATCACCTGTAAAAAAATTATGTTAATCATTGAAATCTGAAGAACCCTTTTATTTTTAAATTCTAGAATACTTGGGTAAAACTTTTTTTTTAAAAAAATTATTGCTTTGAATTGTACGAATAGGAAAAGATTTGTGAGAACCAAATGTTTGACCAGGTTGGACATGCATGGTAGTAACACCCTAACACAGATTAGTGTTCACCTGGGGGAAAAGCGCCTTTAGGGAACTCAGCAAATGTGAGTGGGAGAAATACCTGAGTTAAATGTTAATTTGATCATATTTCACACTCCACTTAAACTCCTCTTGCTTCAGTGTTATAAAGTTCTTATAAATCTTTTCAGCAACTTCACCCTAAATGGTTTATGATGTCAGTAATTCATACTTCTCAAAACCTATTTTTACATGATGTCCCAAAGTGTCTATGAAAGAATTGTTAATGAAAGGGGCAGCAAAACTAAAAATATTTTATTTTATCCAGTCAAAAGACCAAAAATGGTGTTTCCATTATACCAAACTGTCTCTTATGTATCTTCAATCTGCATTCAGTGGCAGGGGATGAGATGTGGAACATGGGTACCACCGTCTCCACCCATGGTCCACTCTTTCCTTCGGAAGACCTGCAACCTTCAGTTCCATCTTTCTCCTTACTGCAGCAATGAGTGCCCAGCTTTTCCCAAGCTTTTCATGAACACATCAGTAAAATAAAGGAATCTACATATTTAAAAACACTGATGGGTGTCTCAGCCTATAAGAAAAAGTAATTTCGAATGGAAGCAAGAAGCCGCTCCCCTCTTTTGTCCATCAGCACTGTACTCAGAAGAAATATGCACGCAGCAGTCTCTTTGCCTCTCCTATCCCCAGCATCTTGTAGATGCTTGCAGACCACCAAGGATTCATAAAATTAGTTATTTTTATAGTCTTCTCCCACTTGCAGGCATCCTCTACATACTGAAATAAAAACTATTCTGATCCCTTAGGTGGACAGATATTCTAGCTAGGTTATCTTAACAATATGAAGTTTCCAAGGGAATATTCTATTCCCTTAGAAAGAACAAGATTTCCACATTAAGAAGTGTGTTAGCATTGTAGAGTACTTCTCTTGTATTTTAATGTTTCTTGTTATTTAAAATATTATTATATTTTGGATTTTTTTATTTTAAAAAGTTCCTTCTTAAAGAAAAAGGGGGAAATTAGGGCAAAGTCCAGGTAGAAAGCCATTCCTGTCAGTGAGAAAATGATGTGGGAGTGATTTCTTATTAATAAAGAAACTGCCTAGGCCCCTTGATAGGCCAACCCTTAGGTGGGTGGAGTGAACAGAAGAGAATTCTGGGAGAAAGAAGCTTAGTCGAGGAGTCGCCCTGATTCTCCCGCTCCAGACAGATGCAGGTTAAGATCCTCCCTGGTAAGCCAGCTCACGGGCTACACAGAATATTAGAAATGGGTTAGAACAATATGTAAGAGCTAGCCAATAAGAAGCTGGAACTAGCTGGGCCAGGCAGTGTTTGAAAGAATACAGTTTCC